TAGCATAAATGTTCAAGCAGTGGAAATGCAGCTCACCTGTCTCTTGGTTGTACAGCAGTCAGCTCCCTGCAGCGCAGCAGCTCTCCAGGTGTCAGTGCCTCACCAGCACACCACAGAAGGTACTGTCCACACTTTGCAGTACTTCTTTACTTCAGAAACAAACGCCTTATTTCTCCTGTTGTGGTAGTATGGCTGTAACTGTGATGGTCGATGATTGTAGGATGCACATGAGGTTGGGGCTGCTGGCAGAGGTGTGTACCAAGCACCTCTTTATTTCAGGTGGTCTAATAGCTATGTATGCAATTACAATCTGAGAACAATCATATTTCTTTAGTGTGCAAGTCTATTTCTGTTACAACCGTATGTGCAAAAAGCATGTCTGCGTTTTCTTACTATACAAGTTGATACCATAAAGATACTGCCTTTCCCTACAAATGTTTTTTTGGGGTCTAGTTGTCTTCTCCACAGTTGTTGGTTCTCCTTGAATTGGGAAGGTTTTCTAGTTTATTATACACTGACATCTGTTTGCATTTTCCATCTTAAAAGATAAAGTTTTGTTTTGATGGTACAAGGGGTTAAACTGAAAGATTCTGTCTCTAAGTTATGGGATTTTTTGTTTTCCATTCTATGTATATTTTTCCAAACCCAAACAGGCAAAGTAGAATTTGAGATCAGTTTGCAGCTGCAGGGTCATTATATCCATCTGCTCTGGACCTGCTGTTTTCCTGAAGATGCAATAGGCTGAGAAACTTTAATGGTTTAACTCTTCAATAAAAAGCTTAAGGTAGCTGTTTCAATATCCAAGAGTAGGGTACAGAAATAAAAGATAAGAAGACACACACCCAGTAGTTCAGGAGACAATGTTGTTAATATTTTGGTTTTCCTATTATGAGAGGGGTTATACAAAAAGTACATTTCTATTTTCATTGGCAACTATTTTGTAATAATGAAATGACAAACAATGAGTAAAGTTTTCTTTCATACCGAGCTCTGTTAAAGCTCTGTCACAAATACCTATGATTTTCTTGTTGCCAGTGAAGTGGTTTAGAGGCTTTTGGTTTCATTTTCTTAGGCTTATGACTGGCATAAGAATGCTATCTTTCTTTTTAAGCACAATGTGTTCCAACCAATGTTATCACACCTTGGTACCTTTGCTACCAGAGGTACTAACTGATACAGAGAAGTAGAAAACTCATACTGTGCCTCTTGGTTGCAGAAATAAATCCCAACAATTTCTTACCAGTGATTAAGTAAACTATATGTAAATATATTCTGTATTTCAGAGAGCAAACTACTGGAAACTGAGGTGTTCTGCAGTTGTGGCATATCTTGCTTCCTAGGATTGAGCACATTGCTGGAGCAGTGTAGTGAGTTACGCTGCAAATGAGCAAGTTGTATTTCCTCTGGCAAAGGAGACAGGGAAACCTGATGTTAAGCAAATCATTCTGGCAACAGTCTCATGTTGAGAAGTGCTATGTCATATTAATTAAGAGGTCCACATCCAAAACTGATGAAAGGATGATTCACTTTTACACAGTGGATGAAGGAACTGATTCACTTTTACACAGTGAACTCTGGAAATCATTGCTGCAAAAAAATACGGGAGACTGAGCACCTTTCTGTAGAAGTGGATTGGATGTTTATACAGGCAATGGGAAAACATGGAGTTATTCTGCAGATAGTTTTGAGCCAGTATTAGCTATCTCAGTTTATGCAAAAGATACAATGTCTGAGACATCCAGTGGCATAATTATCCCACATCTCCCTCTTGCAGAATAGTTTCACTTTTCTCTGAAACCTGCAGTCTTCTAGGCTTCATCCCATCTGTTACCTATCTAGACTGTACAGACTCTATATTATCTCTACTCCTACAAAAACTTTCTTCTTAAAAGTGAACAGCAAGGAAAGGTGAAACCCTACCTGCACAACCCATGTGATGTCTTCAAAAATCAGTTTAGGCAAAACTGGTGCAAAGGACTGCAGAACCAGCTCATCTGTTTATTCTGGGTTTATTCTAATTTAACTAAAGTGGATTTGAGTAAATCAACTTTTAATTCAGAGGCGTGTTGACACAGATATTGCACCATCGTAACTGACTGATTGGGTTTGATTTGGAGCCTGGCAACCCATGCATGTAAACAAGCTTTGCCTGGGAGCTTCAGGAATAGGCTGGGGAGGAAAGGGGTTGAAAGAAGCTTTGGGCATGAAGCATGTTTTAGTACATGCAAGTAAGAACCTTGGCTATGGTTCTCCCTGTGGCTCGGTAATGTCATTTCAGGAATTATGTCTGGATGCTGCATACTGCTCAAGTAATTTAAAAGCTGAAATGACTTTCCATATTGAGACTATTGTCTCCCTACCTTTAGGTTGTACAATCTATAGGAAAAAATCAAACCTCATTTTGCATTTAATGTTGAAATACAACACCAAGAACTGTTCCAAGGGACATTAGGAAACTTGCATAGTTTTATTACATAAATAACAATGATACAACCTTCCTTATTGCAGATGGCTGTCTTTGCAAGTTTGGCTCCTGAAACTAATCTGTGCACTGCTGAAATATTCTTTCCCTAGAAGTGATATGATCAGTTACTGAGTGAGAAGTAGCTTAACTCCACAACCACTTTCTGAATGTGGGAACACCTGAATGATGGGTTGAATACTGCCATCCACTGGCTGGCTGCATGGAAAATTTGTTCAACTTGCATTTCATTAAGGCAGTATTAAAAAGTACCTGGTGGTGTTTTGTTTTGTTTTGTTTTTTAACATGTTTAACTTTCCTGCCAGGTCTTTCTGTACGATGGTGGGTTTAATCTACAAGGTTACCTCAAATACTTTGTATATATGTGGGTGTTTGGTAAGTTTTGGCTGTTAGGAGAATTAGTCTCCATAACATAAGCTGTCCTGCCAGACATGCAAGGACATTCTGGAGTTTCTTTGTACAGAAAGTCCAGAATACACAATTCTTCTTAATATAATTTGGTTTCTAGCATTCCTGAGCTATGGTTAGAATGTGTCAACAGCATTAATTCTAGCATGAGCTTTCTGTTGTAGACACCGAGAAATTGAAGAAGTTTTGGTGGCTTCCATTTTCTAAAGTCTGCTTTAAAACCAGCAAAGCCAGCTAGCACTGTGCATTGCTCTTAGTACAGAAGGGCAGGCTTGTGATTAAGTCACAGGAGAGGAACTGTAAGGTTCTATTTCTGGCTTGGTAGCAGACGTCCTGGGTTGTCACAGGCAGATCTGCTAATTCTCACTATTGGTCATTGGGCAATGGAACTGCTCATTAGAGTGGCTTCTCCTCCCACCACCAGTGAAGGAATGGACCCTGAGCATTTTGTTGCCCTGGAAGTCTCCAGCAAATGTCCTGGAAAGCAGTGGCAACTGAACACCTCTGAGTAGTGCTAAATCTAGAGCTTTTCTAACTTGTATGTGAGGATGGCATGGGCTGAAGAGTGGTTTCTTTGACAGCTTTGTTCATTCTCCCTCCCTGACCTCAGAAGTTTCCTGTGAGACTTTAAACACATTCTTGTTAGGTGCTGACATGTTTGAGGAAGACAGAGTCAGAGCAGAATGGAATTTAATTTGACATTTAAAGTGACAGCAAGCTCCAACACCACTTTATTAATAAAACCAGTGTGTGGCAGATTTCTGTGTTGTGCCTGATCCTGATGTTATCCACAACTATATTATCCTGAAGCAACTCATTGATAGTGACCAAAATACTTGCAGAGACAAAAAAAACCCCACCACCCCAAAACCCCACCAAAACCAACCCAGAAATTGATGTTCTCCTTGCAAGGGTGTCTGAGACATTTAAAAGATGGTGTGAGTGCAAGACAAAGTATAAAGAAATGCACGGGTATCTTCTAGTAAGTAAAAGTGATTTCGGACTAGTTCGTACGAAGGACTCACTTGCATAAGATGTATGTTCAATGACAGTCTCCAACTATAATAAAAACATATTTTATATGAATAAGAAAAGCAGCAAAAGAAAATCAGTTTCCTCAGAGGATTCACTTGCTCTGGTTGGTTCTGCAGTGATAGCTTGTGAGGTGCAGGAAACTAAATAGGGCATAAACAATGTAAATTTGACTGGGCTGTCAGGAAAGATAAAATTTCAAGTGTTATTTTTTAGTAATCTTAGTTCCTGCTAGTAAAAATCTGTTATTTAATATTCGTTTTATTATTATCATTTTAATGACTGGTTTTATTTTAGCAGGTCCCTTTACACAAGAGAAAAAATAACAATGGGCAAATTCACCCCAACCACCATCTTTTCCGTTGTTTAGATTGTGCTGCAGAAGGCTGACATTATCTGCTGATTCATTTTATCAGCCAGAACATGTACACAAAAACTCAGCCAAAAATGAGAAATGGAAATGGGAAGACTGGGTGGAAAAAAACTGTGCTCAGGAAGAATCTTGAGGTTTGTCTTGTGCAGATGAGCAAGAAACACAAACCCCTAGAAATATCCCCCTTTTATGGTTAGAAATCTTCTGTTTCCAAGCGGTGTTAATGTATAAGGAAGTTTATACCCATTTACTGTTGAAGTTTATACCCATTTACTGCTGTTTTGAAATCTAACTTGGAACAATTTTTTCTCCTCCATGGTGATTAACCGTTTTCTTTCCACCAAGCAAATACAACGTCCTTTCCAACCCAAACCATTCTACGATTGTATGATGGTGCAATATTGTGTGTATGTGAATACACTCAGGAGCAGCGAGCACTGCGTATCTCCTCCATGCTGCTACCGCCCAGGCCCGAGGCTCGCCGGCCCGTAGCTGCCCGCCCGGCTGCAAGCCGCCCCTAAGGACGGGGCGCTCCCGGGCGGCAGCGCTGGCCCAAACGAAGCGATGCGAGCAGCGCCCGCCTTTCCCTCCCGCCTCCAGACAGCGCGCCCTGGGCGGGGCCTCGCCTCACAGCACCCGAGCTGTGGGCACCGCCCCCCGCTCTGGCAGCCCCCGCCGGGCCGGGAGCCGCCGCCGCCACCGCGCCGAGCGGATCCGCTCCGGTGGTGCGGGGGGCGGCCCGCGGGCCATGGCCACCTGGCGGCGGGACGCGCGGGTGACGGCCGTGCAGCGGCTGGGCTGCGCCGCGCTGGCGGGCGCGCTGAGCCTCAGCCTGACGGCGCCGCTGGAGCTGCTGACGGTGCTGGCGCAGGTGGGCACCTGGCACTGCCGGCGGGGGCTGCGCAGCGCCGGGCCGAGCCTGTGCCGGGCCGAGGGCGTGCGGGCGCTCTGGAAGGGGAACCTCACCGCCTGCCTGCGCCTCTTCCCCTACAGCGCGCTGCAGCTGGCCGCCTCCCGCCGGTAAGCGAGCTGGCTCGGGCCCGGCCCCGCCTGCGCTCTCTCGCCTTTCGTGTCAGTTGCAGAAGAGGGGTTGGAAAATGGACAGCTTCGTGCGTAGGGGCTCTTAGGTGTCTCAAGGGTGGCTGACTGGCTGTGTGTGCTCTCACCCCAGGGCATGTACTCTGGATAATGACTTGTTTATTCAGCACGTAGCAACTCTTAGGGCCTGGTCAGCAGCTGCTCATAAAGGCATAGGTGTTCAGAAGGTGAAAGGTGGATAGTCTGTTGCTGGATTCCTTCAGAAATGAAGTTACCGTGCTGCCTGCAACTGACTGCTGGCTGCTCTTTGCAACACTTTAATACGCTCTCAAGTGTTTATATTGTCTGTATCAAAGAAAATAACAAAACCATTATTTAAATCTTCTTCCCAGTCATGCAGGGGTTGTTATGCAAATTTGATCTGGTTTGAAGTTCATACTTGGCATTATTTGCTTTTAAGATCTTGTTTTCAATAATACACAGGCAAATTAGGGTAAACACTGGAATGAATGCGGCAGGATCAACATGGAGCAGTGCTGGCTGAGCTCTGCCAACCCGTGCTGTTTCCTAGGATTCCCTGTTGCTGCCAGTATCTGTTGGTCTGTGAGGGGAGTGCCCGGCTGTTGGCACGCACCAGCGTGTTCTGCCACTTCTTGTTTTGTTTCGGTTTGAATTCAGGCCAGCCGTGTGTACGGAATGCACTTGACATTTCTGCCCAGCTGGGCGATGCTGGGCCGTGCTGGGTGGGGAGAAGCGTGGTCTCAGCCTGTGCTGGCCAATCCGGTGCGCTGCGGTTCTTACCCAGGCTGACGCTATGGGTCTGTCATTCATCTGCCTGAGCAGGAGTTGTCCTCCCCGCTCTGCCACTGCCTCTCAGGAAGTGCCAGATGAAGCGACCCTGGAACTGGGCTGCTTTGTTGTGTCCTGCCTGTAATGGATGCGGTGGTCACACGGGGGAGTGGGCATCGTGGTAATGGGAGGGCAGAAACAGTGATTTAAAAGTTCCCAGAAGAGCCAGGGTGATGTATGTTTATAAACCAGTTGATCTTGAGCGAAATAGCTCACTTTATTCAGCTTGAAACAGTTTCACAAGGCTATAGTTTCTCTCTGGTTTGCACCGGGTGTTCTTTGGAAAAACAAATGGAAGTAGGCTGACAGAAAATTAAATAAAAGCCACCTAGGCATATTGTTCATATATTTGTGGACTTTTTGGGGGCTGTATTTTCTAGTTGGAAAGTGGTGTATATAAAGGCAGAAAACACAGAGAAATGTTACATGGCAACTTCAGTAAAGAAGTACCAGACACGAAGGAAAAAAGGTTTGTGCCCTATTGCTTCTGCTCAGCTGGTCTTTCTGTACTGGCCTGTCTCCAGGGCACGAGACAAGTAGATGCAGGGACCTGTCATGCAGTAGAAAGAAAATGCGCGATCATGTGAGAAAACATCAACTGAGCAAGCAGTGACTTGTAAATGTTTGTAAATTATTTTGGACGTGGTAACACTGGGTAGTTTAAACGTAAATCTGCTGTTTAGGCAATTCATGCTTCTAAAATAGAATAGTAATTTTCTTTGCCTTCAGCTAAGATTGTCCTTTCAAATCTTTTTACTTGCTTCTTTCCGCCCCCCGTGACACTTCTCCCTGATGTAGGAGTGCTCTGTGTACACAGGAAAGTCCTTCTGGGTGTCACAAATGTATGAGTTGTAGGTTAGCCTTTAAAACTCTGTGCTTCAATTTAAACATTTCAGATTTAGATTTAACTTCCTGAGCATAATAGTGCCATGACAGACATCTTCTCTAGTGATGTATCCCTGTGGACCTTTCTGTCCCAAAGTAAGCAGCAGAGAAAGGTTCAGTTGCTCTCAGAAGGCCTGTGATGACGTTATTTGTGTATTTCTTCATACATGATAGCTTTGACTGGGTGTGTGTACTGATGTCTCTGATCATCAGACAATCTCTTGCAGACATGCTTTAAGTCATGGTAATTTTCATCCTCTGGATGGAAATATAAATGAGGATTCTGTGGTCAAAAATTTCTGTAAAAGTCTCTTGCAAAGCAAACAAGTTCTATCTTTGAAGGTTTTTCTCATTGTTGAATTGGTGCTCTGGGCCTCCAGCATGGCTCCACAGCTCAAACTATAGGAGCTTCATCTCTGCTAAGTGTGGTGCAGGTAGAGCTATGCAAGCTGCTTCTAAAAAAGCTCTTTCAGGTACTGAAAGTATTTTAGCTCAGTAAAATCAAAGCAAATTGCATTTGCTGAGTTATGTATTCCAGGCCCTGACTCTGTTATTAACTGTAACTTTTTCATTTCTGCACTTCAGTGCAACATGGACTTACCCAAGTTCTCTTTGGGCTCTGAGACACATTTTTAGACTGCTTATGCTTGTCCACTCACATATTCTGTTTCACAGAGGTTCTGATGCTTGTGTGGGGTTATATATAGCAAGGTCTTGGATGAAACACGTTAAAGTTTCAGCTCCTGCTGCTGAAGGGGCTTGTGGGCAGAAGAACAATTACATCAAGAATATTCTACCTTAATTTTTCACATGTTGTATTCGTACTGTCACTAACAGTACCTCTTCTTTGTGTTCATTCGAGACTTGTTATACTTTTTACTGATGAGTTGGGTCATATTTCCCACTGGAGAGCCATCATGGCAGGAAGCCTGGCTGGCATGGTTGCAACCATCGTGACTTACCCCACGGATGTGATTAAAACACGGCTCATTGTGCAGAACCGACTGGAACCATCTTATGAAGGAATTGTTCATGCTTTTTACAAAATTTATCATCAAGAAGGACTCCTTGCACTCTACCGTGGCGTTTCACCAGCTATATTAGGTAAAATAATACTGGGGAAGGATCACCTCATTGCACAGTGTTTAGTGCAGCTGTGTACTGCGTTCATTTGCTCACTTGATTTCAAAAGCAAATAGTAATGTTTTTCTGTAGCCTTCAGCAGAAACGTTTGCAAAGCACAACAGTGATTGCTGCAGCTTTATTACTTCTAATTATGACCAAGTGCATAGCATTTTATTTATGGTTAAGTATTCAACAAAATACTCTTTTCCTTCTTTTCTAGATGATCTAGTTGTGCTCTGATGCAAGATTTGCACCATTCAACTCTTAAATAAATACACACACATGGTATTCCTAATTCTTGTCTGTGTGTGACAGTGTTCCCTGGTTGTTCAGTGAAACCAGTATGAGCAGTAATGTATAACTGATATGAAAAGTGATGATTAGTGATATCCCCTCTTTATATTACTTTTTACTCTTCCTAGCTTTTAAAAATGCCATTTAACTTTGAGTCCAGCTTTCCACAATATGACGTTATAAAATAACAAGAACAACAACAATAATGTATAATTCCACTACAAAATTGATGAGACCATGAAACAAGCGAAAGAGGAGAGAAGTATCCCTGATAAGCTTTGACTGAAGAGGCCACTCTGTGTACCTGTACAGCTGCCAGGGTTGGGATGGACTGGAGTAAGAGCTTGTCCCAAAAGAGAAACCTGGTGAAAGAGCTGACTTGTCATGAGACTAAAGCAGTTAATAATTCTGGCAACATTTGCATTTTACTATGTAAATGTATGCCCCTGTCAGCACATCTGTGCACTACAGTATGGGTGTTTGGTGGTAAAGCAGTGACTAAAAAGTAAAGTTCTTCAAAAATACTGAACGAGTTTGAGCAATGTGGGGTGCAAACTGTCAGCAAACTCATCCTGTCTTTCTAGATTATGTGATGAGCAGCTCTGTTTTCTTCGTGTACAGTGTGTTGCTATAAACTTGTCTGGTTTGCTTTCTAGGTGCTGTGCCATTTTCTGCTGGCTCATTCTTTGTTTACATCAATCTGGACAAAATCTGGCAAGAACCCATTGTTCATTTCACTCCTCTTCAGAACTTCATCAATGGCTGTGTAGCAGCTGCTGTGGCACAGACACTTTCCTTCCCCTTTGAGACTGTCAAGAGGAAGATGCAGGTACAGAGCATTCGTGTTACTAGTACTTTGTTACAGTTGTTTGTTCCAGGCACTTCGGACAAGACTAGTTGGATGATCATGAGTGCCACTGTTTCTCAGTAGGCTACAGAGACTTTGGTTTAGGTTGATTGTATTTTAGTTTGGTTTTGGTTTGGTTTAGGTCTGAAAATCACTGTTACACTTTTAAAGTGGGCTCAAGTACTGTCATTGGATATATGTATACTCTCAGGCTCTGTATCTTCAGCTTTATTTAATTTATTTTTCATAGCAATTCCATTAAATTCTCACAGTTCATAATTGGCAAACCTTCAGTCAATACAGGAATTAAGTCCTGGTAGTGGTAGGCAGGATGAATAAGATCCATATCATTTCCAAAGCCTTTGTGTTGCCATTTATGCCTGACTTATGTACTGGCAGTCACAAGAACAAGCACAGCATGTTTTATGTCTGAAGGATCAGAACTATCCTTTTCTTATTTCCAACTCCTCTTGTTAACAAGTGACTTCCCAGTTGCTGGTGCTGCTGCTTTCCTAGAGCATCAGCAACATGAGAGTTACCATATCATTTTGTATTATCCGTGAATAGCTGTTACCATCTGGTGGCTCTCTGGTTGGAGCATACGAGTTTGCTCTTTCAGCCTAGTTCATGGGACTGCAGATTTATGGGAAGCTTTTGTGATCTTACTAAAAACAAACAAAACCCAACAAACAAACAACAAAAAAACCAAACAAAAACCACAACAACACAAAAAAACACCAGTCATTTGGTGTGGCAGCATTATTTAGGTCCCTGTCCCCTTCATCAAGTAGGGCCTGGTTTGTAAATCACAAGCTAGCAAAAGGTCAGTGAAACTGAATTCCACTCTTCTGCTCCCCAGGTTGCCTTTTTCAGGCAGGGTTCAGATCCAGTGGCACAGGAGGTTTCATTGCATTCTCTCAATCTTGTAACAGAGGACCTCAGCTGGAGAAGTAATGTCTTTTATCAGACCAGCTCACGTGTCCAGAAGTGAAACTTTAAGCTGAACCCTTTCATCAGGTATCTCATAAAATGACTCAGGTGAAAAAGAGATTGTCAGCAGGAAAATTTGATCATTTTTTCCAGCTGTATCAGCGGGTCTAAGAAAGCCAATTGCCCCTTACAAGTCCTCTTTTTCTTTATATCCTTAAGCTCACACCAATACTGTTGCCCTAAAAAAATAAAGGAAGACAGGGATTTGTTGTTCTGTTTTCCCTTTAATATTTTCTGTCAATGTATCAGTTAGTGGAACATTCAGATTTTGTAATCCATTCAGAAGTAACTTTCATTTGTAACTGGTGTGATGTCAAGTTCTGCATCATGCTTTGTCTCGCCAGGCAAGTAGAGAAGTGGAACAATGGCCCATCTTTCATTTTCTGCCACTAGGCTGTACTCTTTCACCAAAGAGATGCTTAAAGCATTGGCATTCTAGAAATAAGAAGCAAACTGGGTTTATTGTCTAAATATGTAGGAAGTGGATATACTAAAAATACTTGGGGTGGAAAAAGGTCCAGTAACAGAGGATTTTTTTCTCATAGGTGCATTGAAACAACTGAACAGTGATTTTGCAAGCTTAGGGAAACACCTGTTCAGTGATTTATTCTGAAGGCATGGGAGAAGGTAAAGGTGTTTCAGAAGAACTAGCTGCCTAGGTGTGAAAGCCCATAATCTGTTTGGGTCCTGAACATAAGTCGTAGGGGCTTTTCCCAGAATGAGACCTGTTGATCACACCCAAGCTGATAACTAAGAGCTCACTGGAACTCATGATAAGATCATCCAAGAAGTTTGTTTTTCACAGTTAGCACCAGGGTAGGGCCCAGGTTTGTAGGGGTCAGTTCTGCTTTGTGCTTCCTTGCTGGCCTGCTCAGTTTGCAGGGTCATGGTCAGAAGAGAGAATACCACCAGGAAAGATACCATGCAAAGAGACTTAAGAAAGGGGGCAAATAAAGAAGGGGAAAAAATAGCTTCAGGACATTTTAGTGTTCTGTAGGAAAAAGGGGAGCAGATATTTTCGATCACAGTTTTTCTCAGACGTCATATTCTGATCAGTCTCCATTCAGTAATTTAACTTTCTAGCTGATAGAAAGATGAGAGCACCAGAGCCTCGCCTGCCCCAGGGCTACTGTGAGTGCTCTGCAGTGTGTGTAGGGAAATAACTGGCTTTGTTTTGAAGCAGTGAACAATGGTTTAATGTATGAGGAGGAACCCAGCACATTGCAGAGGGCAGTATCAGATTCCTTTTCTTTCCCTTCTGTCGCACTGATCTGACAGATGTAGGTGGTAGTATATTGCCAGAGAGGACTTTTCCAGTGAACCCATTGGTGATGGAGAACCAGGGAGTTGTAAAGTGGTCTCAAGAGCTTCAAAAACTGAGAAACTAGGATGTAAGCTCTCTTCTGATTCTGTGATGGAGTACAAGCCTGAGACCAGAATATCCAGGTCAGACCTGACATGCTAGGCAGTCTTGGAAGAATTAGCTCCATGTATCTTCTCATCTAGCCAGTGCTTAAATTGTTCTCACACGGAGGAAGGATAAGGTTAATCTCAGTTGTAATAATGTTGATTCATCCTTTCTCATTTTACGTCTCTGAATCCTACGCTTCTGACATTGGCAGCTTCTGTCACCGACATCTGTGGGGGTAGGAATTGTCAGTGAATGATGCTTCCCCTGTGTTTTGGTGAAGATTTTGATGTCAGATTTGCTCTGTAACCATGGCTTCTTCCCCCTCTGCTATTAGAATTACCTTTATTGTGTTCATCTTGTTTTTTTAACAAAGATGCTGTGTTTGCTGAATATACTTTATTTTTTTATGTTTTTCTTAAAAAAAGTGTTTATTAATATGAGTGAGTATTAACTGAATATGTCAGTCCTCTATGTTCTGCTTATCCTAATTTTGTTCCTTTATCTTCCTTTTCTCACTTTGCTCCTGATGGGTATGTTAGAGAATTAAGAGGTACTGTATGCATGTTTCAGCATGGAAATATGGCTTTTGTTGTGCATCTGTAGAAGGGGGTTAGTGAAGGAGAAGGTTATTCAGAGAGATATCTATATCAAATGCTTTCCTGACTCACTCTTGTGCTACATCAGTTTCTGAACAAAGACTTACTGATCCTTATTCATATCTTTGACTGTTATTCTTGGCTTTCCTTCCTTACCTCATGATCCTTGTAATATCATATTCTTTGTTAGAGCCAGTATTGAAGCAATAATACTGTACTTTTACCTTGCAGACTTGCACACAAGAACACTTTATTCTTTTACTTTAAACATGGAAATACCTGCAACGAGTGAGCCTGGTTCTAAGGGAAGCACTGGTAATATGTTTCCACTTCCCACATAATCTTTTTTGCCTATCAAGTCCTTCATATATGCATATTGGACTGAGCTCTGGCATTTCAGTAAGGGAAGATTAATTTAGAGCTGTTATATGCCATATGGAAGATTATTATTAGAATGACACTGATCCCAGGCTATGTGTAGAATTGAAAACCTACAAACATGGAAATGGTCGGAGCAAATGTAATACCCAAGTCTGATGCTTCCCTCTGTGCACATGACCCGCAGAGGCAGGCTCAGAGACTCCTGGCTGGCACTTCTCAGCCTTCCTTCCAAATTAACCTGTGACTTCAGCAGTTCTGTTAGGAAAAATGCACAAAGATGCCCCTAAAGTTTCACAGCTACTCCACTGATGTACAGTCACTTCTCCTGCTTACATGAACAAACTTTGCATAGTTTGCACAAGTTTGTAAATTATACCATATTTTGATGGTATAATTTAATTTCTGTGACTAAAACTAGTCTGAAACTCTCATTCATCAATAAATGCTACTAAGGTATAGCTTTACCATCAACTCCTTGTAATACAGAATAAGCATACTTTTAATATACTACAGGATTCAGCACAGTTTTGGTGTTGACTGCACAGCATCCTCGAGTTGTGAGGACATCTCTCTGGGGAAAGCATTGCTTTGTAGTGATCCTTCTGTTTTAAAATTCAGCCTTTGAATTCACTCCACTGCCATAGGCAAACAGACTCACTGTTCTTGGGTAGTGTAGACTGTCGCGATACATTAGCCATGAAGTGGCCTATTTCAGTGACAAAAATGAATGGGTTAGGCCTCAGCTGCCTGTAACTCTGCAATGTATTTGGGGGTCTTGTTGGAGGGGTTTCTTTTGGTTCTTTGGAACACAAGATGCTCTGCAAGTGTAAAATCTGTTGTAAATGGTGTAAATGCTGTGATATCTTAGTAACCTGGGGAAAACTAAGCAGTCATTCCCTTTGTGAGGTAGCCTGTTTAAAGTAAATGCAATTTTGTGCCCTATTGGCACATTTCTAGTCTGAAGTCAGTTAAAGGAGATACAGAAGTCTCTTTTTAAAAGTAGCACTGTTATACAAGTATTTATTTAGAAGTCATCCGCTATGCTCCTCATGTGTGAATGTCAGTCTAACAGGAGCCCTGTGGCTGGGTTATAAACAAAGCTTTGGAAATGAAAATGCTAGATGTTCTTTAGAACATCTCCCTGCTGAAGGGAGGAGACAGTGCTCCTGTGTTGTTTAAACAGGAGCCGTTTGAAAAGAGCACTGTGTCATTGGAGATGGCCACTGGGGCTGGCACGGCAGCCTCTGAGAGCTCTCAGACTGTGGTGTCGCTGCTGTTTGTCAGATCTGTGTTCTTGTCAGCTGGGAATATGAAAGTTATTGGAGTCATGACCTGGTTTAAAATAAGAAATGCTTTTTGGGTCATGTGGTCCACACGACATCTCAAAAGCAGACGTGCTCTGAGACTTTGTGCACAGAGACCCTTTAACAGTGAGCAGCATGGGAGCCTTAGCCTTCAAAATTGTCAGAGACTGAGCTGTTTGACCACAGACTGGCAAATTCCATAGTGTGGAAGCAAATAAGGAGCTTCTACTTCTAGCCTGGTTTCCTGTGGAAGTAAGGCTTGTGTTGTTGCTAGCTATTCTGTCCTTGCCTTAGCATTCT